TTCTCTCACTGTAGCCTAGTCTAGGATTCCCCACTTCACCCGTAGCGGTGAGACCTTCCCTTCCTCTAAAGCCTCAGTGGCTGTGTTTGGTGAGGTTGATGAAGGTGAGCCGGTTCTCTGTAGAAAGGAAGGCAAGCAGCAAAGGTAAAAGGCACTGGAAAGAGCCTCCCTTGCCATCAAATCCAGCCCCTTGCCTTCTCCATGAACCCAGAACACAAGGGCATCTCTTCTTCCCTTCCCTGTGCTGCTTGCCTTTCCCTCTTCGTGCTCTGCCTGCAGACCCGGGCTGCTCCTTCCTGCCACTCCATGTCCCTGGATGCCCCGGCCCTGTCTGCTCCTCGTGGCCACCAAGGAGATCTCGGCAGCCCAGCCTCACTTCCTCACCCGTGCTGGCAATACCAAACAGCGTGGATCAAAGTGAGAGGGGGGGCTGAGGGGGGACTGCTGAGGTGATGAAAGGCTTTGGAAAGTGTCGGTGCAGGCAGCTGAGGGGTTGCTGCATCGTTTCTGCTGCACAAGTCCAATGCCTCAGGAAATTCTTCTATTGCCACAAAAGCATCTCTGCAGTAAAAAGGTGGTGGGGGATCAAAAGGAGGTCATTACTTGTGGTGCAGGATCTAGGAGGGTACTCTCCCCCTCTCCTTCAGGTCTACAGACACCCCAGATCTGTTTCTTTTATAATACTAGGTGAAGTGCATGAGCGATGCCTCTGAGTCTGTCCTTTCCCAAAGCTCCGCAGACTGGGGGAGAAGGGAGTTGTGATTTGATGGAGGAGGCGGCTGAGACATGGAAATTTTAGATCCTAGGGTATGTTTTAGGCTTGTTTCTACTTTTTATGCAGTTCTTGCGAAGGCTGCTTTTGGATGCTGACTGCTTCATCCTTCACATATTTAACCACAGACAATTTGCTTTGCCTCCTGCTAGCGGCACATCCCACAGTTATGATCCTGGGTTATGCCCTGAAGTGAGCTATTTATACACTGTGACCGGCCTAAAGACTGCTGTCTGTGCTGGTGGTTTTCCTCCATC